TTCAGGAGTAAGGGTATTTACTGAGGGATTGAGACAACAGCTAAGTACTACAGACCATGCGAGAGGTCATAATAGCAGTTGGTTACCACTCCTATAGACTCTGAACTATTCAGGTTTCGCTGTTTAGCCAGCTACCTTCGAAGTTGTTCTGTGATTATAATCTGATCACTGTCAAAGGCATGCATGGAGAAAGCACAAACACGAACCCATAAATGTGCTTCCAACTTTAGTTTAGTGCACTAGGAATTTCTCTTATTTACTATTCTACTGCAAACCCCAATGCTCAAAACTGCGCACCCATGCTCCTTAATTTACAAGCCAAAAATGCATTCTATCGATCAGCTAGAAGGAGATAGATAAAAATGAGCAACTGATTCGTTTTTCGTAATTTTGAACTTTTGTTAAGAATGTTTACTGGCCACGCTTTGTGGCACATCTCCCTTAATGACAAATGGCCTATAGCATACCTGTATACAACTCTGCGTATTATATAGCCAGTGTTACTACCATTTACTTTTGTTTTCTAATGGATCATTCTGGACAAATTCCAAGAGTTGTATAAATGACCAATCGATGCTAATAACCAGCATTGATTTAACTTTGCCGTATTCCCTTCCGCTGGAACCAGCTTAATTCTACCAGACCGCTGTAGCAAATTTTTGTTAAGTTTTGCTTCCGTTGCTGTACCGTAGTACTATTTTTTGGTATTGTACTCAGTATCCACTTTCTACGAAATCTCCAAGTTCCATCTTATTCCAACCACTTATTTGCATGTGGGTACTACTTTTCTATATCATGTTTTATTTTTAATGTTAAGTAGTCCACGTATATGGAAAAGTTAACTTCAAGGCCTCAGATCTGGCAGAGTTAAAACTACTGCAAACCTGACTTCGATGGTCTAACTCGACCCGCAAGCTGTAGCTTTCGAAGATTGCCATACTACTACAAGAGAAAGAGTAACATTATTATGTTCTCAGTTTGTATCACTGAAGTGTCGGAAAGTTGGATAAGCCAAACCGCATTGGTTAGACAGGAAGAATGGTAAAATGGCTTGGCTACGCAAATTGGGGAAGAAATTCCTCCTCTCCGCTCCTTCCAACTTCTAAGAGTCAGATAAAATGAGACGAAATACTTGCACATTGTAAAGGCGAATCAAAATATGTTTAGCAGTTCGACACCGGTGCAAAGGCTATCCGCAGAGAATATTTGCTTACGTGAAATGGAGCTGAAGCCTGGGGGTGATATAACAGTGTTAGAGAAATCGAACCGAAAGTCCCTAACTTCTAACACTGAGTGTGCGTCCGCGTTGGCGGCGCGCTTCAGTTTCGTGATTGCACATAACTTGGCGTGTGTACGACTTGGACGCGTACCGCGCTTACAGAACGCGATAGTCTGGTTTGTAGTGTTGGCGAAGTACATAAACTACCCGCCAAACTTGAAGGCACCAAACGTGCTGGCGCTGACAGAGCCCACCTACTGATGCCCAAGGCCGTATTGGACATCTTCTCACCTGTTTTGACTGGATTGTTTAACAGTTCATCATCCGAAGGTTCATCGTCGACGGTTTGTACATTCGCAGAGATGAAACCGAATCCGAATGGCGATGACCTCAGCAAACTGGAGTTGCAGGCCAAAATTTATGGCATGTATTTTGGCCAAGGTTTGTGAGATGATCGTGAAGAAAGCCATAGTACAGCTGCTCCAATCAAAAGATCTATTGACTCCCGCACAGCATGGTTTAATGCTAACCCCCTTATGTATTACCGACCTGCTAGTAACGAGACATAAATGATTACAATCAGTGAACCAGGGGAAGTCTGTCAACATACACCAATTTCAACAAAACGTTCGAAAAGATAAATCATGAGGTCTTCTTCTTCTTCTTGGGAGTGTGCTGTGTTGTGGGATCACTGTACCAATGAAACCGCGAGTTTCTTATCAGACGAAAGTGGAAGGCACAGTATGACGGCCTTCTAACTGGATGGTATTCCTCTACTAGTGGTGTGCCCCAAGGCAGTGTGATGCGACCCACTCTGATCTTAATACGCATCAGCGATTTACGTTCATTGATTGCTGTGTACCCTGTTTGCGGATGAGCTGAAAAGCTGGAGATTGATAAACGCTTCCGATAGGAGCGTCCCACTTCAGCAAGACATCCACAACGATTTCATGTAGTCTGCAGACCCCCTTCTCCTAGTCAACCCTAGCAAGTCCGCATTTATGAGCCATGGGAAAGGTGGTGACAGAGCAACAAGCATCATTGACGTCCAATCACTAGGTCTTTCGCCATCCGTGAACAAGCAAGGTGTACTCTTGAGCTGGCATTTAAATCTCGTGGACAACATAAACAGGTTATACCGGAACGCACTGCGCATCCTTTGGGAGATTGAACGCAGCGTCTGTATTTGGTCTGAGGAGGCCGACAGTTGCCACTTCTCTTCCATCATAAGACCACTATTAGAGTACGGCATAGAAGGTCGAACGGATCCAACGCCTCGATACTAGGCTCACTGCTGCTTTACAAGGAGTACCGCACAAAGACCAGTGCGATAAACTAGGACTTTACATCTTGCCCTATTGTCGGGTAAGAGTCAATTTCATCGTGCCCCACCGCATATTTCATCTCGATGACTTCCCATATTGATGCCTACGTTTTACTTTTGAATACTATGCAGTACGCGCAGACAGAGACAAACTTTTGATGCCTGATATGAAAAGACTATCCCACCCCCTGTGTTTCGGACGGACAGCGATAAATATTTTCAACAGTCGGCCAACACATGTAGTGGAGGCGAAACTGCTGTAGCAGTCCAAAACCTTGCTGCATTTACACTTCATCACCATACGCTTCAGAGAAAGATTGCACACTAGAAATGACATCTTACAATTATGAGCACAGTAATACCTAGGTCAGACGTTTATACGTGCTACACTAGAACTTAAAGAAGGATTAGAGTACAAACAGGTGGCAGATGTAAATGTGACATTTGTGATCATATTTCGATGCAGTTGTTCAGATTAGAATTTTATTTACTCACATATACAGTTTTTAGGATTCAGTTTCTCAAACTGTTTAGTCTGGTGCACTTGCCTTTTGGCTGACCGTATTACTGTCGAGTTACTCCGACCTAGGTATCTGCTACCACCGTTTACCACAGTAATTAATACCCAAAGTATAGGTTCATATACATTTCCGGGCTGTTCTGACTAGAAAGTTCCATCGGAAAATCACACTGGTAACCGAAGTAATTTGGAGCTGCAAAAAGCCGTGCGTTGAGCTTCTGTCCCTTCTGCTGCCCACTGGATCAATACGTGATAATTATGGACTCGTATTGTTGAATAGACAGCAAATTATCAGGCTACACCACGCCTTAAGTCCAGTAGCTTTGCACACTATCCCTAAGAAGAAACAATTTTGCTCCGCTCTCTCAAGTAACCTATAGATCCCTCATTGCTGATGGGCCGAGACGAGGAGAACTAGCTGACCAGTACTTTTATGTATGTGAGTTAGCGTCTGGGTAAGTTTGCCTGGTCTAGCCTTCATTAAAGCTGGTTAATTTTCCCCGCTGCCACCTCCTGGTAGGCCCATTGCATTGTTGTAAACTCAAGAATTATTAAGCACGTTACTCTAGTCGTGAAATACTTATGGAACGCTGACTGCTTACAAACTAACACATTCACAATTGGTATATTTTACCACGCAATTAACATAATGTGCTTTCAACTAAGGCTGAAGAAACTGGAACCCAAATTGGTTTTCAATTAGGGTCTGCCTACCGGGTGTAATTCTAGCTATTGCAATCAAGTTCTCAGCAGAACTTCGAATCCAGCCTGGAAATCAGACGACAAATACCTTGATGAAAAAATGCCTGTTAACCAGTACAACTGTCAAACAGTCAATCCGGCCCGAATTCTCACCATGTTTTATTGTTAAAGAAGTGTGTCGTAGTGGTTAATTCAGCGATCACCTATTTCCAGGTTCGCACACAGGCAACTTATTAGGCAATCTGTAATTCTTTGAAACCTGGTCATTTGTGTACTATTCATCCAGTCCGGTGTTGCAAGCTCTTCCGTGTTCGAATAGTGTGGTGGGTCGTGGTAGATCCTGAAAGTTGCGACAGAAAATAAGTACCCGTAAGCGGATGGATGCTCATATCACAACCGCCTAATAAAAGGCTGATCCAAAGAAGGCAGGGAAGAAAGCAGAAAAGAGGGAAGAATGAGTCAAATCTGTTAGGAGCAACGGTAAGAGGGCACGACGAGGAAAGTGGAAGCAGAACTCATTTACCTCTTTTTTACTTTTTAACGTGTTACAGTAACGCATACGGACCGGCTAAACTTGGATCTTACCTATAGTGGGAAGCTGGTTCCATCGAATAAGTATAGACCCCCCTAATATATTCCTAAAATTTTTGATGGACAAGCATTAGATTGCAACCGCAGACATTTGAACTGATTTGTTATAATACTCGCTACTTTTCTTTCTAAAACACTGGGTTGTGAGCAGTAGCTCAATGACGAAGTAGGAGACAAAGTTTACCACTGCATAGGATAGACTGAATGAAACTTTCCCACCTTACTTACACTTGAAATCGAATATAACAAAGTTGGCTATATCTGAACCGATCTTTTCATATACGTACTCTCAGTGGCACTGTATCATGGAATTTCTTCGGAAAGCCGTACATGTGTACAACTGATAGCACCTACCAGTCAACACAAGCACATGATTGGAACAGTTTGTGCTCATACATGTTATCGATCAAATCCATCAGCACGGAGTGATATGCCTTAAGAATTGACGTGTTATGTGACAGTAAACCTAGTTGCTACTCACTGAAACGACTGACATTCCACCGGCCTTGAGTACATGTTCGGAATGGTGCATTTATATCGTGGTCAGCAACAAGGACTGTTGCCGTTCTGCTTCGCGGTACTCGAGCACACTCGTCATCAAATTTTTAAAGGTACCCAGGGATTTGCATTTATCAAACTGCAGAATGAGCGTTCCAAATGTGAAACCGATCCAGGTGCACATGCCCGAAGATATGCTGAACCACGCCGTCGAATGCTGTCGTGAAGCTCTACAGAATTTCTCCGATGAGAAAGATATGGCAGCACACATAAAGAGCCAGTTCGATGCGCAATATAATCCTAACTGGCACTGTATTCTTGGACGCCAATTTGGCAGGTCAGTTCCCGCTGTTTTTCCCCTGCTTACTTTAATTGCATTTTCTCAAAGACAATGAAGAATAAGTCAACATCTTATTGGGTAAGTGAGTAGTTAGCTGCCCAGTAGTATGGACGACGTCTTCGCTAATTAACGACAGCTCTGGGCACAGGTAGAGGTAGATAATCTTTTAGTAGACTAAACACAACCATAAGTATGCGTTGAGTAAAAGATTTAAAGTGTGTTACCACGTCATTCGAAACCGAACATAAGACTACGATGTGATAAGAGGACGCTAATACATTCCTTTTGTTCCGTTATAGCTATGTGCAGTACGAAGAAAATCACTTCGTGGAGCTCCGGGCTGGTCCATTAGATATTGTTCTGTTCAAGACGGCGTAAGTTAAGCTGATTATACGTTCACAGGTTTCTGTTGATAAGCTTATTTTGTCATGTAACAATATTACCAAATTTAAAAGCAGTCGTTACAACGTGTCATCATCGTCAGTGCAAGTGATCGCAGCCATGATCAAGGTCTTGGATGCAGAAGTGAGTGGATTAGTATATCAAAAGTTCATCTAAACTGAAAGTATAACGCAAGGATGCCGAGGTCATACAAGTTACATTCTCACCCTAAACATTTACTTCAAGTCAAATCAAAGTAAACTAAAGTTTGCACACTTAGGGATGAGTAAATATTACGTGATAATGCACGCCTTTAGCTTCGCAGTAGGAAAACATAGTACACGCGGAAAGAAGTAAGGTGCTTAATAACTGACACCGACAGAAGCATGATCAGAATGTAAGCCTGCTATTACACTTCTGAACGACGGAATTCTGACCGCGCGAAAAATGACAGGAAAGTAGTTATCATGTTTGCAAGGATAAATTGTCTTATACTCTTGTCTGGCCGATGAAGTTGATACTCAGACAATACACTATGAAAAGTGAGACTTGTGCCGATAAGCATCGTTAAAGAAAGCTTTCGTGAGAAATATATTGCGTAGACACACCAATGTCATCCATGTCTGGCTTTTGAATGCTGCCGTATTGACCGAGCTAATATTTTTAATGCCTTCTTAGTAGACCAGAAAATAATACAGGATAGGGAGATGTCAAGTGGAGTAGTATATGGTCCTGCTCCATCCCGATAGCGAACAATGCATGGCAGATTAAGAATTCAAATGAGAAATGAAGGGTGAAATCCCCTCAGCTGGTTAAATACTTCTTTCATATGAAGTGGCCAAGATGTATCAAGACTCATGGTCGCAACCTGCTATTCCATTGACAAGGAAGAATGTCATGCCTCACAAGCTGTGTGGAGTCAAACCCATGTTATGCACAAGTACAAGTTACCATTAAAAGAAACAACCAACCACAGTGTTTCTATCGTGCGGCTGTATTTTTTTGCTCTCGTACGTCTTCCAGATTTGATCTCATAATTGGCACTCGAGCCAACTTGACAAGTGCCATCTAATGCGCTTATCCTGTGAATTTAACTTCCGCAAGACCCCTTTTATTTCTACATCACTGTTGTACACCGTTCCCGCAAACTAAACTTGTTCAATTTCCACAATATGGCGCCGTACAGGAACATTTATGTCCTTAAACCGAAGTCACATCTGAGATACACGTAGCAAACTACCAAGCACAGTACTCAAACGCAAAGTAAAGAATGTATCGCTTTCTTTAGACTTCAGAGCGGCGTTGAGCGACCGACACAGCCGCTCAGTTTTCTCCTCAAAGCCCTGCCATGTATCGCATTTTGCTACAATGACGCTAACATCAAACTGTCAATTCAGTGTGTAGATGGACAGTCAGACAGCCACATGAATCAGACTTGAGATGGAGTCAAGCGCTTCAGCACTGAAGGTAGATTCATCAAAGACAAAAGTGTACTGGCGGATGAGTAAAAGCGATCGAGCAAATGAAGTCGCACATAATGCCGCAAATATGAAGGGAGTCTGTGGGTCAATCTCACGCAAAAGTATAAGAATAAGCATCCCGTTTCAGTTTCCTTATCTATTTTCTTTCCAATTGTGCTTAACTACTATCGTGCGAGGTAAGACTTAACAGTAGCAGATCATACTCCTGGTGGCTATGCGCTGTACGTATGGCCATCCATCCAGCAAAGTGAGTACTTGAATTTCTACAGAAACAGGAAAGGCTGTTGGCAACCATTTAGGAAATGGTGAACGATAAATCGTTGCACTAGGAGAAAATATGACGGAAAGTAGTCTCCAGTTCTTCCCGATAGGCTCTGCTTCATGCATGACTAGGGAGGCAGCCGGTTAGCAACCGTTATCTGTAGCTTTACAGACCAATTAGCTAGCCAATAACCCCAATGTCCCAGATACACCTGAGACAACCAATTGCAGTCAGATTGGAATAATTAGGACCAGCCACCCAAACTATCTCGAAATCGCAAAACGATGTTGACACCAGTGTTACTTGGGACTCGGTTGCTGCCAAGGATAACGGAAATCTAGGTTTTAAGATACTTCTACAGGGTTTAGTATAAGTAATTGAGGCAAAACTGCGCATTCACAGTCGCCACCGATTGTACGCAAACATTCGGGACGCTCAAACTGTATCCAAGCTGCAACAATGGTCATTAAGAGATCACGCAGTGTATCGTCATGGACCATTACAAATACCCAAAAACTGACTTCAAGTTGCTTTAAACGTTGATAACTCAACAACGTCAGCCAGTGGAACTTCTTACGTGATATCCTGGGTATGGCAAATAAACCCACCAACCTGATGCGCGCGACCCGTCACCCAGACCCATAGTGCTATAGTTCACCGAGATTTCTCCACAAAGTACTGAATTTTGCAGCTCGGTTACCTACAGCTTGTTTCCGAGACGAACCGTTTTCGGTTCGCAGGTTCGCAGCTATTCCGTGGAGTGAGCACAAGCATTCGAAGAACGGACTGGAGGACTATTGGACTGAATCTGTAGCTAGAACCGTCCACGTTTATAGCTTCTCAGAGACCAGTGGGTATGACGAGCGCAAAACAACAGCCAATGAAAAGGAGCAGTAGCACTACATTCCTGAGACCAGGTCCTTGGCAAAGGTCCTAGCTCAATAAATGTATAAGCTTTTTAGTTCACTGAGTTGTGAAGAGCCTGGTCTAAGGATTGTGAAAGAGGTGTCTTGATTCAGACGGATCTCAGCAAGGGCATTGGAATGCTGGCATGTGTTTCGCAGCAGACTGCTCTCTAGTCTGCGACTCAACACGGTTTCCTCCAAGAAAGCTCACGATATCAGCACTTTTGTCGAGCCACCTCTAGACAACAGTTCAGAAAATATTACTCATCTAGCCTCGGTGACTAGTGGCCACACCACATACGTTGCACCCTAACAGATGAGCAAGGAGCAAATTACTGCATCGCTGGTTTCTATACGATCTAAATATCACTATTCCATGTTAAAACGATTGGCAGGCAACCTTGTACTAGTCGGCGCAACAGTCTACCCAAAACACACGTCTTCCCACTCGCCATTGACAGCAAAGAAACCTTACTGCCTATGCAACAGTGTACAACAACTCCTGAACAATCTTTCTGAACTACAGCTAAGTCACGCATCATACACCTGGATCATATCCTCTGTATTTGATAGGTGTATCGACGCCAAAGTTGCGCTGCAGTCTATCTTCCCGGTTCGAAATGATCGTAACAACAAGGGAGATGAGGTACTTATATACTACCGCAATGACCTGCATTGCGTACCGGTGGACGATCAGGAAATGATGATCATAGATACGCTATGTTTTCCTAAGCACCTGAGACACAACGACGCCTTGTGGGACTTTATTATTGTCCCCAATGTCCAGCCAAGTGAGGGACTCCCGCCTGACATTTGCTTTGGGAGGGATCCTGAGGCGACGACACAGCCATGCTGTCATCCCAGTTGACTTTAATTCTTGCGATGTTGGGGTTACGGCATTCCAGCGAGCAGTTAAAAGCCGAGCTAGAATAGTTCCTTGTTAACAATCTGATCTGCAGCCATATTACTTCGCTGGAAGCAAACCATTCGTGTTTGATTTATTGTTCACGAACGAAAACTTCATGATTGATAAGCCATGATAAATAGCCCTATGGGGGCCGAGTGATCACGTAAAAATATTTTGACGACTTTATGTGTGGGATATATACAGGAACATATTGACTCTTTTTGGAAATTATGATTTGGCGGCGTCCGTATCCGGATTTGCCTGTCACTGTGACGTCCATGGGGACAGTCACAGGACGCTTGCGCCTACAATGGGGACCATGGGTGGCTTGCGCTGCACCACCCATAGTTCCACCCACATACCCCATAACCGGTGTAAACCCGAAGGAATAAGACCGGGAGGCATGTGGATGGGAGCCACATTTCATCAACGGAGCCGGCCCACACTCCTTCAACAAGCAGAACAGAAGCATTCCGGTCTAATTGGGAAATCATGCACACCAGACATACACATGGCGGTGGCTGGACCGTAGCCCGTTCCACACAGGTTGGAACCACTCTTTGAGCCTAGCACCGTCACGAGGATGGTGCACTCCGTCCCCAACAGCGACGACCAACTGTCTCCTGGAGCCAGTATGGACGAGGTAGTGGGTACTAGACAGGTTGACACCTTGCCAACATTCACATCAAGCGCATCCACACCGGGGAGCTCAAACAACACATACTTCTGAAATGCAAGATTACTCAGCACGCAAGCAAACGTATCACATACGCCGCCTTATTGGCCTGGATTAGTAAATCGAATGGGAGCGTACGCATCATGCTTCTATCCCACGTGCAATAGTAACTTCTCATGCATCTGAGCAGCCGCCCTTATGATCAGTCCACGGAGTTCGCATCGATAAATTTGCCTTGGATTCTCAACATCTGAAATCAACATGAGTTTGTCATAAACTCACCTTCTTCATGTTCTGGTAATGTTATTTCCGGTTTGTTCGAGTGCTGTTTCCCTGCACTAAGTTAGCCGTACGAAAGCGGTAAAAGTATCCTCATCGAATCCATTCGGTATACATGTACACATAGATTGGCGTCATCTTTGTCCAATGGCAGTTCGAATACAACATATGCACATGCATCTAGCCAAACTTAAGTGCGATCTGTCACAAACTGGCTAGAGACACATTAGACATCATCATTAATGGTACGACAATCATGTATGGATTTTGTTTGGAGGTCAGGCTAACAACCACTTTCGTAGGCATGAGAATAAGTACTCAATACGAACTGTTGATGTTTTCTTCAACATTTAGACGTAACAGCCTTAAATCTTGGCCATCCATATTTGAAGGAACCCGATGTAGCAATAGTGAAGCAACTGCTAGGTAGAATGATGACTAAACTACTGGTACAGGGAAATAGGGTGCACTTAGGTGTTGCTC